CCATTATTATGAGGGATTCCCTTTAAGCTTCTCTGCCCTCTGCTTTGATGATTCAGTGGTAGAGTTCTTACCTTCCACATGAGAGACCTGGGTTCAATTCCTAGACAATCAATTTCACCTTCAGCCACCAGCTGTCTGTTGGCTTGTGTGTTGCTGTGTTGCTATGTTGCTAGACAGATGTCAGCAGTGTTTCTAGCCTAAGATGGCCTAGGAAGAAATGCCCGTCAATCAGTCAGTGACAATCCTATGAGTCACAAGTGTCTAGTCATCATCCGATCACGGGGATGGCGCAAGACCAGGTAGGATTGTCTTCTGTCATGCATGGGGTCACGATGATTTGAGAGCCAACATAATAACAGCTAACAACTATAACAACCGCAGTCCTTAGCTTTGGGGAGAGAAAGAACAGCCCTCCCCACATGGCTGACAACCCTTTCTCGTGTTAAACCTAACTACAACAGCACCGGTTTTACAAGGGTGAGTCAAAACTTATCTGCACTTTGGCTGTCAAATTTATTTTAATCAACTTTTAGAAAAGACAAATACATCACTTCCCCCCATAATCTTCTTGCTTTTCAATACACTTGGTCCATCTGCCAACAAGCTTTTGTATTCCCTTATTACAAAGTGTTTTCGGCTGAGCTGCGAGCCACGAATGCACTACTGTCTTCACTTCGTGAGAGGTGAATCTTCATCCTCAGGGGGCTACTTTTCAGGGGACCAAACAGGTGAAAAGTATGATGGAGTAAGATCAGCTCTATAGTGAGGATGCTTTAACACCTCACAACAAAGTTTTTGCAGAGTGTCAACATTGTGGGCAGAGGTGGGTGGACGTGCACTGTCACGGAGAGCAGTCCTCTGCATTTAAGCCAAAATTTAGACTTGAGCTCCTTACATTACAGTGAGGGAGCATCTCCCTGTAATGACCGTTGTGATTGGTGAACTTTTTCCTGATAATGTTCCAACACTGGCCCTTGAGAATCCCAGAAAACTCTAAGCATCAATTTTATAGCTGATGACTGACTTTTGAACTTTTTCTTGGTCGGTGATTGAGGATGTTTCCATTCCATACTCTGCCGTTTACGCTGAGGCGCATAGTGATGAATCCATGTCTCCTCGCGAGTAAGGATTATTTTAAAGAAACTTTTACCTTCCTTCAAGTATTGGTCCAAATGTTGTTTGCAGACGCCCAAACGCTTCTGTTTACGCTCTTCCGTGAGTTTTTTCAGTATCCATCTCACAGAAACTTCTTGAAACCCAAGTCTGTCGTGGAATATTTCATAGACAGAGTCATGGTGATTTGCAAATGGTTTGCTGCATAATCTGCTGTCACTTGTCTAACATGGACGTGGACGGATGTTTAAATATAGCTGTAGTGCGGAACATTTTTGAAGAGGTGCGTTGTGCCAGCTAACTCCAACACCCAGAATTTACATTAGCACATGCCATTGTGGTGCTGTGGGTTAATGCGCCAGACTGCAAAGCCTTTTGAACTGCAAGGTCGGCGGTTCAAGCTTACCAGCTGCTCCTTGGAAACTCTATACAGGGTCTCTATGGGTTGGAATCAACTCGACAGCACTTAACAACAACAACAACATCGCCTCTTTCCGGAGTCCTGGTGTGGCGCTGTGGGTTAATACACCAGACTGCAAAGCCATTTGAACTGCAAGGCTGGCGGTTCAAGCTCGCCAGCTGCTCCTTGGAAACCCTATACGGGGTTGCTATGAGTCGGAATCGACTCAACTGCACTTAACAACAACAATCACCTCCTCTTTCTAGAATGTTCTTCGCTTTTCTCCTGACTTCCTCATCCAGCTTGAATGTCCTTTCTTCCCAGAGGTTTTTGTGTCCTCCCAACCACCTAGAGTGGGTCCCCTCATTTCCCCTCCCTGTACCATCACCTTTTTCCATAGCCTGTATTGTCTTCTGGATCCCTCTTTCTTTGTGTGTCCCTGTCTATCTCTCACCCC